GTCGCACTAGTGACGTACAAAAATTAAAAAAGAAAAGTTTTTTAATTTTTTGGGGGGGGTTTAAACTGCTCCACTGTAAGAAGTTCCTTAATAAAAGTGTTAATTGTACATTTTAAACTCAGAGTGAACGCATTATTCACCAAAACTGATGTCCATGAGTCAGTATGAAAGAGAACCGAAGAGGTTGATCGGTTTGTAACAGTGCAGAGTGAATACTTTTAACTCCTGTGATCGTGCTCTGCAGCGTTTGGGACTGACGGCCTCTGAATGGGAAGCTCCTGCATCCCCGGATAGGAGGGCCTTGAACCGCATGTAATCTGATACTCCCATATAGGAGGGGGTTTAGGGGGAAGTGCTGCCCTAAATGGAGCGTCTCCGTCAGTTCTTTCACCCGTGTTGTGTGTGCACACTGCATGGATTATATTCCTGCAGTCTGCAGCCGATATTTGACTGAACCAAACCCTGTCACTTACTTTCAGATGTAGTGTTACAATAAAGAAAGGATCACGTCAGTTTTTAAGCCTCACAGAGCTTCATTTCAGCCAAAAGTCAGCTGATCTTCTCCAGCTTATTCAAAATGCTGCCACAGGTTGTTTATTTCAGAGCACTTTGCAACCGTGTTTAGAAAAGTGATGATCCTTTTCCCGCTTTATGAACTTTTTAAGGAACCTTTTAGGAACTAGCTAACCTTGATCATTAATTGCAGTTTTATCACTTAAAGTGCTTTTCATTTCTTAATAGTAGACACTAATGACTGTAGTGTACAAACATTAATCCCACTGCTGCTAATAATGAGCACTCGTGGTTGTTGTGCAATATGTTTCCCCTTTTGTTCATTTACATAAGCATATAAATATTCATCTTATTGTTTTTAATATTGTCTCTGATTGATCGTAATGAAGTTGGTTGGGGTTTTATTAAAGAGAGGAGGCAAGCACTTACTTCCTTACTTCTTCCTTTTTTGGAGCTTGAGATGTGCCATAACACTTTCTACCCACGTAGGAGTGTTGTGGTGGCAGATTTCCACTGAATGAACAATACAGGTCACTAACTACAGGCCAGGGTAGCAGACTGTTGTTGTTATTCCTGGACTGGTCGTATCTCCTTATAACGGATATTAAAAAACTGGATGGTGGACTAGAATGGTATCAGAGTTGTAATGCAGGTGGTATCTGATGCTAGTGTACTTGTATAGACGTCCAGTCACTTTGTCTGAAAGTGCAGCACCTTGTGTGATTTATTTCTCTCTCTTTTGTCTTTGTCACTTATCTAGATCGTCACCACGGCACACCCATGCTGCTGGAGGGAGTCCGCTGCATCGGGGTGGAGTTGGAATATGACTCCGAACAGAGCGACTGGCAAGGATTTGATTAAAGATTAAGCTCCTGCTCCAGTACACACACTCATATATACACACTCATATATACACACAAACACACACACATAGCGGCCATCATAGAACCGTACACCTACTAAATTAAACACAACACACGTCCTGTCAATTTCCCAAATAGTAACAGCGTACACACACAGATGATTTTTAGTGCCACGTTATGTTTCAAGCGCCGGGTTGTGATTCAGTGTTCAGTTTTGGATTCAGAGGAAGTTAAATTGTTTTGCCTGCTGAAAATAATTTACATACAAAAAATACAAACATTCCTCTGCTGTGACCTTCACACCATCGACAGCATCTGAACGGACGGTTTGTCTATTTGCCACGTCTTTTCTTTCCTCTCTCTCTCACCGTGATGTTGTTAATCTGTACTCTCCTGACTGAACCTCTAGAGGGCGGCAGCGCTCTTTGAATATCAGTGCAGCTCCTTTTCACTGCCTCTTGTGCTCCATTCACTCTTTTCCAAACTGTATCCCAACGTGGATTTAACAGGTGAGGGAGTAAACAAGGGCTTTTTTTTAAAATTAATTAAGTAGCTTGGAATTGAACTTTAGGTAAGCAAAAATAAAAAAATAAATCTGCATAATTCAGGGAGGAAGAGAGGAACTGATTAACAGCATGTAATGTCTCTGTTTAACCTAAAGGGGGGGACTGCAGACCACTGTGTGTAACGCTCCTCCTATCTGAAGGCTGTTTCATGGAGTGTGGTCTACGTTTCTCCATTTAAAGGAAAAATCCAACAATTTCATGAATTGTGTCGCCCCTAGTTACCCCTCAACCTGCCCTGACTACTACTGAATTTGCTCTATTCTGCATTTCCCAGGAAATCCCAAAGAACATGTGTGAACTTATTTCAATAGGAGTATGTGTGGGGGGAAAAAACTGAGAATAATGCCTCTAAACATGTGCTTTTTTTCTGTGGTAGATTCCTCCGGTATGATTATTAAACATTTTTGTTAAATTTTGCATTCAGAAAGAAGCGCTTTGTCTTTTATTATCAGGAACTGATACCAAAATCTGAGGTTTAGGTCCATGTTTTAGGTCTAGCAAACATTTTTCTGCACCGTCCAGCTGCAAATGTTTCATTCATGTTGTTTTGTTTCGCCACTTTTCAGTAAAAGAAGTAAAAAAAGAAGATTTAAACACAGATACAACGCACTGTGCATAGCCGAAAGCTGTTTTAAAGGTGAAAAATCTAACTGAAACAAGTAGTCGATTAGTTGGTTAGTCAGTCAACAAAAAATAATCGATTAATGATGCATTTCTCTGTTTAATTTTTTTGGCTTTTGGACTGACTTTTTTCACTATAGATCCACTAGTCAAGTATCATTAGATTAATCAACAATGAGAATGTTCTTGCATTAGCGCATAAGTGTTTTGAGTGGATTTTTCCTTTAAGAAAACCAGTCCTGCAGAGTTCGGGAAGGATTTTGTTTCTCTTTGTTGGGATTTCATGAAGCCTTCAGAACACACACATTCGACACAAGTGCCTTTCGTTGTACCGTCCTGGTTCTTATTTAGCCTGATGTTGTTTCACCATCCCGTCACATACTGTACCCCCCAGACAAAACACACGGACCAGTGTGGAGCGTCCATAAACATCCAGTGTAACGGCTGCCTCCTCAGTGTTGTTGTTGTTTCCAGTGTTAAATCCCACTTCTTCCATGGCTTGCTTCAAACAGGTGTTCTCACAGTACGATTGCAGATCAGAGAGAGTTGACAGACGCTCTTCTTCATTTACATTTGTACCTAAAGAGAAAGTGCCATGATCTGGTTGCACTGTCGTCTCCCTCTTTCTTTTTTTTTTTTTTTACAAAATCATGACATCTCCTCTGTGTGAATCAACATTTTTTTGTTTTTGTTACACCCGATTGAATACATCAGCCTTAAAGGAAACGATTCTGTGTGTAATTTCTCTACTACGAGCTGTTGGTGTAGTGCAGATTAAATAGATTTATTTGATGTTTGCTTGCGTGTAATACAGGTCAAAGTCCGGTTTGTTTCTTCTTAGTGTAAAAGATGAAGTGCTCAATAGGTTACTGTTTCAAGAATGTAGCAGTTTATTTGTTGATATCTGCTCCCTGTGTGTGTGATTTATATTTTTAATGTCAAAAACTGAATAAAAAATGTGTGTATGTTTGAGTTTTGTCTCTTATTTCCTATCAGTTCACCGCAGGAACACTTGGTGGCAGTCTACGCCGCCGCACTGATGTCACCTGTTACACAAAATATCTTTTTCATGCGGATCCAGTAGAGATCGAAAAAACATTCGGATGCACGATGAACGCATCAGGTGGATGTGAAGAATCGTGGAATTTGGGTTTATTTCAAGATTAACTTGTCTGCCTGTATCTTTGAGCTGTGTAGTTTCACCTCAAGAGCATCAAGTCTGTTCAGTTTTTTAAGAGCAGAAACTATTATCATTTCAACTTACTAGAAAACACTATATTCACTTTAACTCAGCCCCAGAGGTGTGACAATAAACCTGTTTTTAATAGACTATCAGTAATGTATTGCCATTTTACTGAACCTGCTTCAATCACTGTTTCTGATTCAGGTACAAATAATTTTTTTGTTTTTATAAGTCACTTAAAATAGAAGAATATTTGAAATCACACCAATGAAAAATTATCTTGTCAGTTTACCACAAATAAGAGAGACTGAAATTAGTTTTTCTTTTTAAATGTTATCTTCTAATGTCTACATTTTCCCCATGATCACAATATTGTGTGGATTCCTTTGCTATTTTATACTTTTAGATTTACATAGAAACCATCAGTGTGTTTTCTAAGAAAACCTACTTACTGATGAGCCCTTAAAGTCCAACAGAAACTACTTTACTTGCATTTATCTTCCTCTGCAGAGTCTTCGCTTCAAATATGCACATTTTCTTTTCCTGAGTAACCACGGCTGTTTGAAAATAAAGGAATATTTGATGTGAATAATGGCATTCAAAGCTTATAAAGGATTATATTTATATTTATATATACAGATTTTAGGTTCCTCTTAGAAATTCCAGTTACAAAATGGCTTTCATGATTGAAATCTGTGGGGTGTTTGGTGAACAACTATGGGCTTCATGAGCAATAAATAACAACAAACCTTTACCTAGACTCCATTAAAACAGCATGTAACAGTGGAACAGGACTCTTTCCACTACTGGGATCAGGAGAGAGCAGGCTAACCGGCCTGTATGTGGAGGAAAGAAGACGTTTTAACTGTTCAAAGACCCGCTTCCCTTTAAAGCCACATTATATAGATTATTATAAATATTTAGGGACATAATAGCAATATCAGTGTGCTGTGCTGCATGACTGTCCTATTATGATAAAGAAAATAAATCAAAGTTTAATTTAAAACTTTATTTACATTACTGATAAGGTTAAAAAATAAGAGCTGCAGCTTTAAAAGAGAAGTTAACTCTCTGGCTCATTTTTATAAATAACCTTTAATAACTATTGCTGTTTAAAATGCTGCAACACTGAATATCATTAATCAGCAACACTGACTTTTTGCTTTTGTATTTTTTATTTTTTCACATTTGACATGGAAAGATGATTATTGGTTGTTTGAATAAGGTTTTGGGAGAGGCATAAGCATGAATAACTGCCTCAATCAAGAGGAAAAGTTCTTTGCAAAGTCTGCAGATCCTTTCCTCTCCTGTGGGACACAACCAGCACCGCTGCTGCTGCAACATTATTACACTGCAGGATCGAAAAACAACCTTTTTTATTGTTATTATTTATTGTTTTTTAAGCGCCTGTAACATTTCTAGAAGAGGTACGAAAAAAGGAATAAATATTTTTTAATTTCGTCGTTTATTTGTTTTTTCCCCCCCACTCTTGCTCAGTTATTATTTCTTTTACTGAGTGTGGTTTTATTTTAACAATTGTTTGTCGTTCTGAAAAATGCTTTAAATGTATGATGTGGGAGGAAACATGTTTGCAGTCTGTTTATTGGGCTACAAACAGTTTGGTTATTGTTAGTAGTGTTGGAGGCAGTGTGCAGTGTTAGTAGGATTCATAAACAGTAAACAGACATCAACTATGAGCTTGTTACACCGCGTGTTGGTTTGTATTGGAAATAAATAATGTTCAACTTTGAGCTCTGCAGGTGGTTAAATGAGAGAAAATATTCACATTCATTTATTTAATTAAACTATAAACTGCAGTTTAAATAACAAATACAATATTTTATGTGACTTTAAAGTGTTACTTGTTTACCATAATTACACAGTTTTACTTTGCTTTAATTTGTTCAGTTACTTTCTTTATGTTTATCTATGATATGATATTTTTTAGTTGATGTTGATGTTGATGTTTTTCAGCAGCTTTTAGACGGAAGACTCCACTGACTCAATAAATACAAACTGAATAGGCTCATTATTATTATTATTATACTCAGATGTAGCCTATACGCGAAAAAAAAAACAGGGTCAAGTTTTTATTAGCACTTAGTAGCTACTAAACAATAATATATAATAATAATAATATATTTCTAAAATGCCCTAAATTTCGTTCAAATTAAGTGCAGCTTTGCACGATGGTCCTGTCGAAGTACGGGCATTTTATTTTTTGCCATTTCTTTGAACGAAATGATAGATTCTGTAGGTTTTTATGTTTCCTTTTTTGTCCTGTGTAATTTGTTAAAATTGCGCCTCATATTGTGCCATATTATTTCACCTTATTCCAGTTATCTTACCTTCACTGCAGCCTGTAAACAAAAGTTGAGTAAAGTTATTGACCTCCTGAGAGTCAGAGGAACAAGCACCAAGACTGAAAATATAAATGCAGTATGTGTATTATTAATATAAACTTAAAGAGGTTAAATTCTGACTGAGAATGCATCATGAAGACGAGGCCAGCCCTTTAAGGTGCATAACAAACCTCCAATAAATGGTGCGTAAAGCTCGTTGTCCGTCACGCTCCTGCGTACATTTCACATTCATCCCCCGCCACATTTTCTCCCCTCCTCCTTCCAAAGGTTTTATTTCAACAAAAGCTCCATAAATGCAACTGATTTTCTCTCCAGTATCCCCATAAAAGACGTCGGCGCGTCTGCGTCCAGTTTTACGCAGCATCTTTACGGCTTTCTTTCTGGGTACAGCGCGTTTCCAACAACTTATTTTAATGATCACACATTCAGGTGTTCATATGTGATATGCGCTCCGCTATTAAAAATATATACACACAACAGTTTTCGTGGCATTTGCACTATTGCTGCTTATTCTAATGGCTTGGGAAATCATAAATAGATGCATTAGTTGTGATACAATAGAAGTTCTACCGTGTTTAAGATAAACTCTGGTTGTTTTAACCATTATTTTATAAAAAAAATGAAGTATAAAGTATTGCATCTTTACATAAAATCCCAGTTTCATGCGGCCAAATGTTTGCCATTCCTGCACAGATTTGTCTGGATCTTGTGTGGGATGTGTGAACTCTGAGTGGCCCGGTGCCCTCGCGCTGACCTCTGGGATTACAGTAATCTCTGTTGATTGATCTGATTGATCAGATTCATCTCCACGAGGCCGCAATCCAGCCGCACACGGGGGCACGCAGATGAGGCAGTCGGTGCGTGGTGCAAATAAACATTATTTTCCTTCCCCTTTTTGGCTTGCAGGCATTTACAGGCAGAGAGGGGGATCTGAAGGTTTTTAAATCCGTTAGAGGCATCAGTATCATGTGCCAGGACATCTGTAGTAATGTAGTGTAAGGGGGATTTTGAGTATAGCAGAAATATGATTCAAATAAAATTGGGTTTTGATTTGATCATCATGTAAAAAAACAAATCAAGGACCCAGATTTTCACCCCTGATTGCATTGGTTTCAAGCTGAAAGTGCATTCAGATCATCATTAAATTACACAATAATCAAATTATTCTCCTCAAGGCAAAGAGAGAACTGACATAACTTTTCAAAAGTATTGAAATTTGGTTATTCATTTTTCCTACTGATGAATTAATTAAAAAAGAACATGACATGGACGATTAATGAGAAGTGATAAATGTGCTTAATAAAACTGAAGTTGAAATAAAGTGACAGTCAAATGATGTTAAACTGAGCTGTCTCAAGTTAAAGTCCTGCTTTTAAAATGTCATTCAGGTACAGACTATTAACAGCATAATAAAGTATCAAAAGCACTCATAATGCAGAATTACCTTTTTTAAACTGTTGTACAACAAACTTATTGATGCATCAACATGTAAACACCATTGTTTACATGTTGCAGCTGGTTGAGATGAAGCTTATTTTAACAATATTTCACTGCTGGGTAATTTAATCTGTCAACAATGCACATCTTGTTTTGTGAAATTATACCAGTGGTATAGATCAATATGTGTAATTTAACACTTCAAACAACATTTAACTGGCTGTTAATTAAATAATTTTATGCCATATACCTCATGTTATTTTTCTTTCTTTAATAACTACCATATTCTGATCTTGTCCCATATTTATGTGTGTGAAGAACAAACAGAAACTGATGAAAAACAGATAAAAAAAGTACAAAAAGGTACAATAGAAGAAGTAAAAAAGCAGCAGAAAATGGAAATACTATTTACAATGCTTTACACACTATATATTCTATCTATCTAACTCTATCTAATCTATTCTAATCTCTATTACCTCTATCCTAACTCTATCTTATCTATCCTATATCATCAATCTATCTATCTAGTCTATCTAATATTACTTAAGCATGTCACTGTACCATTGGTAGCATTCAGGGGTCAACCAAAGAAAGACTAATTAAAGGTACTTGTGGCACATACCTTTTGGCAGCCAAAGCGAGCGCCACAAATGTTTTTTTTTTTTTTTTTTAAAAACCTTAACTACATAATAAAACCGGATGACACAAAAATGTCTCCCTAATAACGGCCAAAAAGCACTGAATATCAAGGAATTATGAGCATCTTCAGGAAAAGTCTAAACGTGATAAAAGAAAAACATCTTCCTTTATTGGGGGGTTTTTAATTGTGCATCGGCTAAATCCCAGAGAAGAGAGAGAAGGAGAGAAGAGAGAGAGAGAGACAGGGGAAAACACGGAGAGGTAAGAGGTAAGTAATAAGTGCTTGTAGTCGCGGTTATCTTGTGCTGGTGCGTGTTTGTGTGTCGGGCCATCACAGCATCGGCACAAACTCCAGTCCCCATCTTCGTCTCCTGCTATGGCAGGCGATCTCGATTGACAGTTTCTATTCATCTCGGTTGAGATTAGGACCCAGCAGAAAGAGGTAAACGACCCATGGCTGTCAGCCAGTAATTACCCTCGGATAAAAAAATACAAAAAAACACCCACACACGCAAAACTATAATTATATAGACTCCCGCCTCAAAAAACCCATTTTTATTTTCTCTCCTGTCTCTCTTCTGTTTCCCTGCAGTGCTTTTCAAAGATGTTTCACCTGTAAAAGAGAAATTCCCAACCCAGTGATTTCAGTTTTTCGACCCGAAAGTTATCTGCACAATCACCAACAGAACCTGCGCGGACTGCACCCATCAAAACATCACAAAGCCCCTGGCAGATGACAAAGTGGGTGCTTCACTTTTGGGTGAGAACTCGCCTCCTGGCATATATAACAGGAAATACTGTGAAATGAGCTGCTTGTTTTCATCTGGCGGCGGGGATTCGCACCAATAACCAACTCGCTTTATTTCTCATTTTTCCCATGCATGCTCGCTAATTATTGATTAAACAGCTCATTGAGCGGCGAGGGGGTTTTCCTGCAGGCTGCCAGCAACATTTTCATAAAACATAGCACATTGAGGCAGTTGTGTGTTTGGGGTGAAGAGAGAGGAGTGAGGGGGCAGGTGTGGTCAAAATAAGAAAGAACACTGTTGAATCCAAGTGAGGTTTAGATCTTATTATTATCAGGCCTTTAGATCATTCGCTGAAGTTGTAATGTGATTTGAGGATGCGTTACTACTGCACAGGGTGTCACCCAGTTGTAGCAGTTGATAGATCCATTTTTTTAGATGGATAAACAGTGGGGCATTTTTTATGGGGGCTGATGTGTTTTGAATTGAGATCATTTTTCCGATTGACTCCAAAAACGGACAAATTCTGATTAAAAAAAGCACTACTTTTGTGTTTTATCATATCTGTTGCATTTATACCTCAGGTTGACTTCTGAAACATGTAGAATTTTCAGGTCTTCAAAGCATATTTCATTATATTATATGCAACAGTACATTCAGCATCAAAAAAATATTTTATTCGACCCTCAAAGGGGGCAATTTCTGCGGGCCGCGAAACCAACTAGCCTAACAAACAATTCATTCTATACAACACCAAAACAAGACATAGTTACAAAACGACACTGCAAGATCACCATCAAGGTCA